GATGCAAGCTTAACACCTATCCGGATAGCGCTGAGTAGAGATACCGGATACGTATAATGGAGCAACAATTTAGAATAGCTCCAAGTAGAACAGTTATTTGGAATAGCTCCAAATAGAACGTGGTAGCTGCATCTAGGAGATGACATAGAGATTTGTAAAGCACACACGGATCTGAAAGGTTCAGACCCGTTGACTATAACCTCTCTCACAAGCATAACATGATCAAACCCAGAACTCATCGAGTGTTAATCACATGGTAAATGTGAACTAGATTATTGACTCTAGTAAACTCTTTGGGTGTTAGTCACATGGGGATGTGACCTTGAGTGTTAATCACATATCGATGTGAACTAGATTATTGACTCTAGTGCAAGTGGGAGACTGTTGGAAATATGCCCTAGAGGCAATAATAAATTGATTATTATTATATTTCCTTGTTCATGATAATCGTTTATTATCCATGCTAGAATTGTATTGATAGGAAACTCAGATACATGTGTGGATACATAGACAACACCATGTCCCTAGTAAGCCTCTAGTTGACTAGCTCGTTAATCAATAGATGGTTACGGTTTCCTGACCATGGATATTGGATGTCGTTGATAACGGGATCACATCATTAGGAGAATGATGTGATGGACAAGACCCAATCCTAAGCCTAGCACAAGATCATGTAGTTCGTATGCTAAAGCTTTTCTAATGTCAAGTATCATTTCCTTAGACCATGAGATTGTGCAACTCCCGGATACCGTAGGAGTGCTTTGGGTGTGCCAAACGTCACAACGTAACTGGGTGGCTATAAAGGTACACTACGGGTATCTCTGAAAGTGTCTGTTGGGTTGGCACGAATCGAGATTGGGATTTTGTCACTCTGTGTAAACGGAGAGGTATCTCTGGGCCCACTCGGTAGGACATCATCATAATGTGCACAATGTGACCAAGGGGTTGATCACGGGATGATGTGTTACGGAACGAGTAAAGAGACTTGCCAGTAACGAGATTGAACAAGGTATCGGTATACCGACGATCGAATCTCGGGCAAGTACCATACCGCTAGACAAAGGGAATTGTATACGGGATCGATTGAGTCCTTGACATCGTGGTTCTTCCGATGAGATCATCGTGGAACATGTGGGAGCCAACATGGGTATCCAGATCCCGCTGTTGGTTATTGACCGGAGAACATCTCGGTCATGTCTGCATGTCTCCCGAACCCGTAGGGTCTACACACTTAAGGTTTGATGACGCTAGGGTTATATAGGAAGCTTGTATGTGGTTACCGAATGTTGTTCGGGGTCCCGGATGAGATCCCGGACGTCACGAGGAGTTCCGGAATGGTCCGGAGGTAAAGATTTATATATAGGAAGTCCTGTTTCGGCCATCGGGACAAGTTTCGGGGTCATCGGTATTGTACCGGGACCACCGGAAGGGTCCCGGGGGCCCACCGGGTGGGGCCACCTGCCCCGGGGGCCACATGGGCTGTAGGGGGTGCGCCTTGGCCTACATAGGCCAAGGGCACCAGCCCCTAGAGGCCCATGCGCCAAGATATAGGAAAAAGGGGAGAGTCCTAAAAGGGGAAGGCACCTCCGAGGTGCCTTGGGGAGGATGGACTCCTCCCCCCCTCTTAGCCGCACCCCTTTCTTGGAGGAAGGGGCAAGGCTGCGCCTCCCCCCTCTCCCCTGCCCCTATATATAGTGGAGGGGAGGGAGGGCATCCATACCTGAGCCCTTGGCGCCTCCCTCCCTCCCGTGACACCTCCTCCTCTCCCGTAGGTGCTTGGCGAAGCCCTGCAGGATTGCCATGCTCCTCCATCAACACCACGCCGTTGTGCTGCCGCTGGATGGAGTCTTCCTCAACCTCTCCCTCTCTCCTTGCTGGATCAAGGCGTGGGAGACATCGTCGAGCTGTACGTGTGTTGAACACGGAGGTGCCGTCCGTTCGGCACTAGGATCATCGGTGATCTGAATCACGACGAGTACGACACCATCAACCCCGTTCACTTGAACGCTTCCGCTTAGCAATCTACAAGGGTATGTAGATGCACTCTCTTTCTACTCGTTGCTGGTCTCTCCATAGATAGATCTTGGTGATTCGTAGGAAATTTTTTTGAATTTCTGCTACGTTCCCCAACAGTGCGGACTTGGGCGCTGGAGCTCGAGTGCGCAGGGATGGATAAGCAAAGGAGGAAGAAGGCGTAAATGGAAAGGGTAGATCCTTATCCCCTTATATGGGCGGCCAAAATTACAAGCCCCCACCAGCCTAATAAAACTCGCCTATCTCCCAAGCGCCGCGGTTAATGGCGCGGTTGGGTTATCCACGCCCGTATTGATGAGAATCCCGGAATAAGGGGACACGATCTCTGCGACAAGCTGTGCCAAGGAAACCGTCTCGCTAAACGCGCTGAGGTGGAACAGTAAAATGATTCGAATAAAGGCTTGGCCGTGGCGTGATGTCATGCTGCAGAATATGTCAGCAGATTAGATTTGTGCAAATATTATTCTCTCTACGGTGGTATGTGGAACTTATTTTGCAGAGCCGGACACTATCCTTGTGTTCAAACATCTTCTATGAAGTATTTTGAGGAGGAACCCGCCTTGCAATGCCGAAGACAATTTGCGCACCGGACTCATCGTCATTGAAGCATGGTTCAGGGGCTACTGAGGGAGTCCTGGATTAGGGGGTGTCCGGATGGCCGGACTATGACCTTTTGCCGGACTCCCGGACTATGAAGATACAAGATTGAAGACTTCGTCCCGTGTCCGGATAGGACTTTCCTTGGCATGGAAGGCAAGCTTGGTGATATGATATGAAGATCTCCTCCCATTGTAACCGACTCTGTGTAACCCTAGCCCTCTTCGGTGTCTATATAAACCAGAGAGTCTTAGTCCGTAGGACGAACAACAATCATACCATAGGCTAGCTTCTAGGGTTTAGCCTCTGTGATCTCGTGGTAGATAAACTCTTGTACTACCCATATCATCAATATTAATCAAGCAGGAGTAGGGTTTTACCTCCCTCGAGAGGGCCCGAACCTGGGTAAAAAAATCGTGTCCCTTGTCTCCTATTACCATCCGCCTAGACGCACAGTTTGGGACCCCCTACCCGAGATCCGCCGGTTTTGACACTGACAACGATCTTTTCCTCTGATCTCCACCGCCCGGGGCGCTGGCCCCCTCTCCCTTCGGCCGCTGCTTCGGCGGCAGGAGGGAGGGGGGACCCTGTTCCTTAGCTCTATAGTTAGGGTTTGGATTTGTAGGTCGTGGTGCGTCGTTGGGGTGGTGGGAGCGGCGCCTGGACTCTACTCCCACACCGGCGGTGTCTTTCATGGTGGCGTCTCGGGGTTGATGGCATCGTGTCTCTGTCGATCCCTCAGATCGGCAGCGTTAGGGTTCATGGATGGTGTTGGCGAGGTGGCGGCGGCGACTCCATCAGGTGTGTCTCTCCTTCTGCTCCGTCCCCGTTGTTGTGGCGTTGTCTCCAACGTCATGATGGAGCAGGGAGGTTTTGTCGTTCAGGAGTACGCGCAGGCGGTTGTCTACGCAAGTGCCAGCTGAAAGATGGAGTATCCTGTGTTGGGTCTGTGGTCCAAGGCTGTCAGTTCTGGTTTCCTCCTCCAACGTCGTTGTCGTCATGCGGGGGTGTCAGTTCTAAAATTCGATGGCGTGTCCGGGGATATGTTGCCCCGGTCTGATTCTTTCAACGGCTATGGTTTTGCTTCTGGCAAACTACTTTGGAGGTCCGTAAAGCTGCTGATCAGAGATGGAGCCGCATCAAGCTTGGGTGAAGAGGTGATCTGTCTTTTTATCCTTTGGTGGCCACTTCAGTGGTGTCGAAGGAAAGGGACATGCACTGGTATTTTGCATAGGATTTTTCTATCTTATCAGTTATGTATGATCGGTGCTTACGTGCCATGTAACTTGATCTTTATTCTATATAAATGAGACACGTATTACCATGAAAAAAAAGAGAGAAACTGGTAGTTTAGTTGGTTCATTCAATAAATTTATTCGAAGTTCCATGTTCTCAAGAAAATGCAAAGAAATCCAATAAATCATATATGTAACCGATCAGTGTGGCCTATTTTTTTGCCCACTGATTTGGGTGATATTGGCCGCTTTAGTAAGCCGGACCAATGTGGCCTATTTTCTTGCCACATATACACTTGCAAGCGGGACTCACCCGTCAAATCATGTCAACAGAATTAAACGGTGGATTAGAGTTAGCTGCAACGGATTACAGTGATAAATGTTTTTTTTTGCAACAAACCCGAATAGTATGATGTTTTATGCGAGATTAACCCCAACAGTTGATGGTTTGTGCAATTTCCTCCGCATTAACATATCTTCTTTTTTCCGAGAAAAGTCCACAAGGGCCAAGCTTTTATGCATTTATGTATCCCACCGTATACCCTTGTAGACCAGTCCAAGATCTCATGTTGCTTAGAAACATTAGAGTATTATATCCAGATATACGAATATAATATTCTTTGATGGTTCATACATGATCGCAAGAAAATTTACCATGAGTGTTTTCACTTTTCGGGTTGGGCCGTTCATTTAGTTCGACGCACGCATGAGTATTGGTCAGGTAATTAACATTTTTTTTGTCAATTTGAGATTGCTTTTACCACGCTTGTCGCCTGGTAGGTAATTAACATTGACGATATCAAAATGCCAAAAGCTCGACTTCGCGATACAAATTACCTTTTGATTTTATAACATTAAACCAAAATAATCATGGGAAATTCCCGCAAAAAATAATAATCATGGGAAACAAAAGAATACAACATTTTACCAACAAATAAACAAACAGTGCTTAAAAATCCAGGCATGACAACATCAAGAAATACTCGATCTAGTTTTTTTCGAAACGGAATACTCGATCTAGTGGTGTGGGCACTGGAAATCGGTGGGGCAGACCTTGCCGCAGTTGTTGAGAATGAGGCGTAGGTTGACGGGGAGGTCGAGCTTGAGGCCGAGCACATTGGCATGGAGATTTGTTCAGAGGCAGAGCGCCGCGTCCAGGCCGGCGAGCCCGTCGAGGAGCGAGCAGCAGTGCTCGTCGCGCGGCTGGTTGACATTGACCTTGAGCAGGCCCAGCACGTTCACGCACGCCTTCACCTTCAGCATGTCCCTGGGGCACGACCCGTAGTGATAAGGATCGAACCTCGAGGGCGAGATCCGGTCTCTTGTTGCGGTCCGATTTTCACGGTATTCCACCTTCAGTAGCAGTAACCTTTCACCCGTGCATGCGATGTACATGAAGTAGAGGGTTTGAAACTTGCGGCTCAGCACGAGAGAAACAATCTGGACGACGACACCTCACACACAAAACAATTTCCTCACAGAAATCGCAACAAAAAGATTTTTTAAAGCTACATCAAAAACTTAATACGGGTGTCTACCCCTGAAAACACATTTGTCTATTTCATATATATAAATATAACCTATCCTCCTTACATCGTACTGGCTTGGCCTTATATAATAGCTATGAAAGCCAACTAGCTTGGGAAACAAGCATCACATCCTACCATCCATCTCACGTAGAAGATAGATAGATAAAGAAAAGCTACCTTCTAAAACTAGGACTCTAAAATTTCTATTAGATTACTTGTTTTATAGTTTGGCAAGTTAATCTCTATATTAACATGGACTGTTTGTTGGTCCGTTTGTGGTGGACCCCATCCCAAGGCACACAAGGATAGAGTTCTCCACGACACAAACCTCCTGCAATTTCTTTCTATCTCTTCAGGTGGGCGTGGCATGTCAAAGTAGTAACCAGCACCATCTCCTTTAATTCCAACTGAATAAAATTCGTGTACTTGCAACCTTGTACGAGCAGCTAGCAAATCCTCCATATTAACCATGCATGCTTCGTTTCTTCTATCTCCAAAAAAACTGGAATCTTTACATGCATTAGTAGCATGCAAACCACGCTCTCCAAAATATACGTACATGCATGCACTTTCTCCTGGAAATACGTAGAATTTCTTATCCTCTTTCATCCATAATCCTTTGGCACATGACAATGTTTGAGCAGCAACAATGTTAACGTTAACCCTGGTTGCATCACGTAGCCGCCGTGGGCGCTCGCCGAGGCCACGACCATGAGCCCGACGGCCAGGAAGAGCAACGCTCTCGGTGCCATGGCCATTTGCGACGGAGCAGGTCGTGCAGCAAAGCTAGTGCGATCGAGCTGCTTGTGCTTGTGATGTGTGTTTTCTCTGTGTGTGAGTGGGTGTGTGCATGGCCAGTTGTATTTATAGATGGGAGATTGTGTATCAGATTGCTCGCCTCCAATGGGAAAGCGGTGTGAGATGAGATGGGGCCGTGCATGTGGTTCCGAGCTGGCGCGTCAGGGATGATTGCCTCTTTTGATTTGGACTATCGTATGCATATGCATCCGTGATAGCTTCAAATGTGTTTATATTCCGACTGCATGTTCCGTCCAGTTCATGTATTTGTTTGCTTACTGGATTGAGCATGTGGCATCGGTCGGCATGCAGTTAGCGGTAACTGCGTCAATTTGGTGATCCTGGCAGAAAGGTTGTTCAGATGACGATGAATAGATGACCGGGGATCAATATGATCAGGGCTTCAACCTACAAAAGCATAAATCTTTTTTTTTAAAACGGAGGTAAAAGATTTGCCTCATCGATTAATTAAGCAGAAGAGAATTGCCCAGTTAATTAAAAAAACCCGAACGAAAACCGATACAAACCAACTACAAGCTTGATGATGTTACCTGACCTTGCACCAATACACACCATCTAATTCGGTGGTCTCGCGAACCCGTTCCACGGCGAGCAGAGGGCACCAACCGATCTAGCAGACGCTCAACGTGCACCACATGCGCATGATGTACAATTTGTGGTTGCCATCTTCTGTTGTCCCATCTTTAGAAGGGATCAACATAGTGACCTTGTCACGCCCAACTGTCGTTGATGCCACCATGACGCCAGATAGCCCCACTACCCTGCATGCGTCCATCCACACTAGTGCAGAACCGGCCTTTAGTGCCGGTTCGCCAATCGGCACTAAAAAGTGGGGACTAAAGCCCCCCCCCCCCCTTTAGTACCGGTTCGTCACGAACCGGCGCCAAAGTGCAAACACGTGGCACGAACCAGGCCCGGGTGCGTGTAGGACATTAGTATCGGTTGGTAACATCAACTGGTACTAAATGTTTGGGTGTTTTTTTTTTAATTTTTGCTTTAATTTTGTGTTTTCAATTTGGCTTTATTTTCCATTTAATTCTTTTTCGTTTGCTGGTATTTCATGATACTACAAATTGTACACGTTATGCATATGTATATATATATATATATATATATATATATATATATATAATATCATCGATATCGAATGTCTCACAGCCAACACAATTAACTATTCATACATACACATGTATATACATATACAATTTCTTCTACATGTTGCCTTGGTGCCTTCGGAGCACGATGACAAGTGGTTCATGGGGGCGGTAGCGGGTAATAGTATTCTCCTTTGGGATCTATGACCTGGTCAAGCAAAAATCCGGCTATTTCCTCTTGAAGTGCTAGTATGCGGTCCGCTGGTAGGAGCTTATCCCGCACCTCTCTGAACTGTTAAGAAGGAGATCAATATGCATGTGTATTAGTTGTGTTACAAGATATCAATAATGGTGTAAATAGTGTTCTGACAACGTACCCAGTCCTGTCTTTGAGATCTGCTCCTTTCGGACGCCATCATGCGAATGTTCTCGCAGACGTAGAATGCACACAGATCATTTCCCGACGCCTGCTTTAGGGTCTTTACGAGAATGGAATTGAATCAGATAATGATTAATCAAGCATGATAATTAATTAATGGTATTGAAACAAAAATTAAAGAGATGGCTAGCTAGTACTACTTAATTACTTATCTTTGGTCAATGCCAAAACAACTTTTTTGGCCATTTGCCTGAAGTCACCTTGATAAACTTTGCCCAAACCCTGCCCGCCGGCAAAGAAAATTAATAAATGAGTTATTAAATAGTTCATATCAGGAAATAACGAACTAATAATAGGCCGAGATATAGTTAATAATGATTGAAATTACCTGTTGACCATCCCCTTCATGATGATGTAGTCTTTATCTTCTTTAAGTAGCGAGTCCAGTACTTCAACTGTTGCTTTGTCAACTTTAATGACTAACAATATCCAGTGGAAACTGCATGCGCACACGTTTGCATGTCTTAATTAAGCGGGCATGTGCATAAAATTAATCAACCATCGTAAACCGTATACACTTAATTATTAACATCTAGCTAGCTAGTAAGCAAAAATAGAATTTGTATTAACTCACAGGAAGTTGTAAGGAAGTAGTATATCTTCATTGGTATTGAGGTGCTTCAAGAACTCTAGCATGCTTTCCTCTACACTTGTTTGAGAAGTCGCAAGATTCCATGTGTACTTATTAATGGTATTTGGGTTAATGAACCCAATGCCATAGCGTCCAGATTTTTTCATTTCATACATCTTCATCCTGCATATAATACCACAGAAAAGAATATATAGTGAGGATAATTATATGTAATGATTGATCAAAAATTACAGAAAGAAATCACTTACAGACAATAGCAACTGACGAGAGATTTGTCGAGTGCGTCTTGATTGTATAACTGAACTAGTTCTGAATACTCAACGCACAGAGCTTTCTCATGGTAGTAATGCTCCTTCTTGACATTCACCATGAGGGACTCTCGATTGGAAATCTTGGTAATGTTCATGTACCATCGATGCAATTCATACATTCTCGTTGGGAGGTTCTTGACCTTGTCTGGCTCGACCAAAGGTTGGCCCCGGACATATTTCCGTTTTATTTTCTCCTCTCTAAGCGGAGACATGAGCTCAATTTCGAGGAGTTATCCAACAGAGATCTTGAGCATTTCAGCCTGCATTATATGTTCCTCCGTTATTACCACATCGCCTAGCTGGGGAACTTTAACGGTTTGCCCACAATAATATTGGGCGCGCAGCCTCCTCTCATGTGTTGTTGGAACAACAAGCGGGGGGATCGATTGCGCCGCCTGTTCTCCCAGCTAGGGAATGATTTTCCGCATTTTTTGCCCGCTGCTTGTTGGCTCGAGCTCGAGCTCGCTTCCTTCTTTAGCCGTTCTCGATGTAGCTTCCTGATTTGGTGCTCATAGTCCGAGTCAACAGGCTTGGGAGCTGGTTCTCTAGCCATATGAATGAAGTGGTCAATCATTTTCTCAGGCACTTTCTCCTTTGCCGGCGGTGCAGGTTTCGATCCAAAATGGGCGTCCACTTGGGCCTGCACTATGGCTGCGTTTTGCTCCTCGGTCATGTCGTAAGGCCTCTGAGGAAGAGGAGCGAGGCTTGGACCATATTTATATCGCTTGTCTCCGCCTGTACTTCCTGTACTACCTCGACTCGTACCGCTACGCACCATAGCTGCGGCGTGTCTCTTCTGCGATTGCTGAGACGGCGGAGACGGCTGACGTGGCTGACACTGTGCCAGACTTGAAGCAGGAGGAGTGGCCTAACGCTGTGCCGGACATGAAGGAGGAGGAGTCTTCTCACGCGTTCGGGGACTTGGAGGAGGTGACGGACTTCAAGGAGGAGTCGGCTCACGCGTCGTGGACTTGGAGGAGCGGGAGTCTGCTGACTCGGTGGCGGACTTCGAGGAGGAGTCGGCTCACACGTTCGTGGACTTGGAGGAGCGGGAGTCTGCTGACTCGGTGGCGGACTTCGAGGAGGAGTCGGCAGACGACGCGGTGTCTGTGGACTTGGAAAGATGATGCAATCCTTTCTCCATAGGATGATATGATGTACGGCCTCTCACAGTGTGCGCTCGCCGTCACCTCCAGCAATGTCAAGTGCTAGCATCGAATATGGCTCCACCACTTCATCAACCATGACACGAGCATAGCCCTCTGGAATCGGGATGCAATGGAAGGTTGCTTCAGGGGTAATTGTGAAAGCAACGCCGTCCGCCACCTTCATGGATATGTTCTTCATTTTGGAGTGTAGCTCACAGTTAGTGTTCTCTATGATGTCATCCACAGGATGGTATGTATCCAGCAGTGTGTCGCCCGGGGCAGAACCAACGCTGCTTCTCGGCATGGATGGGACGGTGCTATCCGATGATGGACGATCATCCGCTTGCTGATGCCGCTGCTGAGACCCCCTTTCCTGGCTAAGTGAGTCGATCAGCTGCTGCTGGAATTTGAGTGCCAAGTCCGCGTGCCTTGCTTCTAGGCCTTGAAGGCGTTCCGCGTCCTGCTTCCTCTGCTCCTCCTCCAGCTTCCTCTTCTTCTCCTTCTCCATCTTCTTTCTTGCACGGGACCTGTAGTCGTCGTTCCAGTCCGAAAAGCCCTCATACCAGGGAATAACGCCCTTGCCTCGTGTTCTTCCCGGGTGTTCAGGATTTCCCAGGGCGCGCGTAAGCTCGTCGTTCTCTCTGTTGGGCGTGAACACCCCCATTCGAGCTTCTTCTATCGCGTCAAGTATCTTTTGTTCGGCTCCTTTTAGACTTGCCTTCTGCGAAACCAGGCCTGTCTTCTGGTCCAACACCCCCCATGTACATAGAACCAAGTTCTGCACCTGGGGGGCCAGCTCCTAGTAATTGGAGTGACCCCTGCATCCTCCATCTCTTGCTCGGACTTATCCCACTTAGGCATTGCCACCGCGTAACCACCTGGACCCAGCCTATGGAACTGCGTCTTTTTTGCGGCATTGGCCTTGTTTTTTATCGACCGTTCCTTAGATAATTCTGAATCCTTGAATTTCACGAAATCGTCCCAGTGTTCTCTTTACTTCTCCAGTGTTCTTGTGAATTCTGGAGTCTTCCTTTTTGCAGCGAGGTAGTTGGCCATACAGTTTTCTTGTGGGTGTTGAATGCAATTGCCATCTTCTTAAGAGCAGCGCCCTTGACTTTCTCCACATCTGCTTTAGTGAAATGATCTGGTAGGGTGAAATGTTCCATCAGAGATTCCCAAAGGTCTTTTTTGGCTCTGTCGTCGACCCAAGTAACATCTGGACGCTTAGTCTTTGGCTCTTTCCATTCTTGAATGGATATCGGGAGTTTGTCCTTCACAAGAACTCCGCACTGACGAGTCCACTTGTTTGCAATGTTCTTAGGCGTCAGGGGTTCGCCACTAGGTTTGACGGATTC